TAACGACCTTGATGATTGTCTTTACATTTTATTAATGACATGTTTAAGCATAATTAGAATTTTTTTTGTATTTTTGTTTTTTCGTTTTCTCGTTTATGTTACAAAGTATTGTTTTTTGTGAAAAAATCGATAGCGAAATTCCATTTTATGTACTCGTTTGAAGGTGTCTTGGACGAGATTTAATTATTTTTCACGCTGTTGTTTACATATTTTATATATTAATTTTCAAATTCTTGTTGCAGCCTAAAATACTTCAGTTATTATATTCTGTTTATAATTTTGTCTTAAGCACGCTCATGTTCTGTGGTATATGCTATGATTCGGGTATTGTGATGTTATAATTGTAATTTTGTTTGTTTTTAGCTGCGATTTATGTTATGTATCTTATAACCTGTGTAGTGTTTTTCTGCATTTGGCGTGGTGTTTTTGCTATGACTTGTGTTGCGTTCTGTTGTAGGAAAACACTACAACAGATTGTAGTGTTGTATATGTATTGCGCATTTGTTATATATATATATTCCAATTTACATATTTCTTATGTGCTTGTATGGATATTATTTATATGTTATAACAGGGATAGTAATGTACGAGCCATATTCTATATATCTTCTTTACATTATGTTTATTATTTATATGTTTAAATTTGTGTATTTATAATATTCGTTTTAATATATCCGAAATAACTGAATGAAAAAAAAATTATTTTTTATATTAAAACTGCTTTTTATCACTCAATAAGATCGATTTTTGTAACAAGATAAAAGTTCTCTCGACTCGACTTCTCTAATATATACTGTATATATAGTATATACTACAAAAAAAAAAGTCGTTCGACAGTCACACTAGATATCTTTGTTACGGCGATTTCGAGCATTCATCAAAAGATTAGAAGAGGAACCTATCCGAAAAAAAATCAATCCTGTACTCCTGTTCATCTCGTCTTCGATTGATCATTTCTCTTCCTATCTCTTTCTACCAAGATATTGGAATGTCATTCGTTTTAACTAATGGATGATCGAGTTAAAAATTAGCTAAAAATAGGAGAAAAAATCAGAAAAAAACGCAATAATTGTATTTATAAAAGTTTCATGCAAGAATTAGCTTTATTGTAAAGCACTTTTCATATGTGTTATCGATCTATAATGAGTTATATCGCGTGTTTTTCCTCAAGAGAACGAAAAAATTATTATTTTCTATATTAACTTTGTTCGTAACAATTCGTCCTTATACGCAACGTTCAAAATTCCTCTTAAATTACCTTTACTCTGGATTATATTTTATGAAAATTTATATTAAAAAATTCTTTCAAAATAATAAATTTTATGAAAAATTTTTATATTTCGAAATTTCTTTTATGTCTTAATTGCTAGACATAAAAGAAATTTATAGTAAATTGTTCCGCTTATCAAAAGAATAAAAAACAAAAAAAGTAATGTCATTAACATGTTAGTGTTAACATTTACGAAATTATTAATGGTAATTAAAGAAGTTTTATCATTAATAACGTTATCTTATTTAATGGGGATAATATAATACAATTTTTATGGAAAAAAATAAAGAAAATGCTTCTATAAATCATGCTTTGTAAACGAAAAATGCGGCTTTATAAATAGCAACATCCCGATTTAAAAATTCAAAATTAGCGTTTATAATGTTATATCATCATCACCCAACTTTTTCTTAATTATAAATATTATAAAATAATTAATTTTGATTTATTGCGACAATGAATAATTTAAAATTGTGATAATATCTATTTTAATTACTTAGTCATTAACGAATTTATTTTAATTATAACCTTCAAAAAGTTAAAAAAGCTTATGCGTGTAATTATGTTAATGTTTGTTTTTTTTTTTTAATTTTAAAAATGTATATAAAATTCATTTATTATTTTATCCTAATGGTGATTAACGTAAGTTTTTTTGTGCTAATCTTTTATAATAAATAAGCTATATATTAAGTTTTTACAGTAAAAATAGTGTAAAACACCCGAAATATTTATTTTTTTGTTTGGTTTTTTTAAAGATTAAAACTGTAAAACAAACTCCTGAAAACAATGTAATTTAGTTAGCAATTAATTAGTTAAATTGCTTTAAAATTTTAACGCATCTAAACACATTTTCCACTTCAATCACAGTAAAAAAGAGGAGAAAATCATTAGTTTTTTCATTCCTTTTAAAACGTTTTAACGTCATTTAAGTGATGTTTTATTATGACTTTATTGGGTTTTGTTCTGGTTAAGCTGTCATGAGTCAATAAACCATTTTCAACTAGAAAAAAACTGTTCGTCGGTGACTCTTCTATTGTTCCCAAGATAATCACTCGATTTCGAGTGCTACTTCTGTTTGATTAACTATTTAAGTATACTTTCAGCTGAATTACTATAGAACTTTATAAAATAACAGCTCATTCTTCCTTTTGCTAAACAGGATATTCTATATAAGGCCATAACTTTTATGTTTCTATAATTAAAATTTAACTGATTTATATTATTTTAAATACGAAATGAATGTTTCAAATTGCTTTCAGGCGATATTGTTTTCAATATCACGAGGTGACTGAACTCTGAATTTGTCAAGATAATTTGGATTTTTGGCGTTTATTATATAGAATTATATATAATCTAATCTCTATAACTAATGTTAACATGTTTTTGAAGATTTTTCAGTTAAATTTTGTGTTAATAAAGGCACGCATGTTATAGATCAAGGGTAACAACTAATTTTACAGAAGATCCACATTTGGGTGGAGGAAATTGAGGTGCAGAGAACTTGGAAAGGTGGGAAAGGGTCGGAAAAAGGGGGTAAAGATAAGTTAATGAAGATTTGACAGGCGTACACGTATCAGAGGACTCAAATTGTATTTCTAATACAATTCTGCCTGACTTCCAGAGGTCTGCTTGTTGCTGACCCTTTGTTATTGATTGTGCAGAAAGTTACGTTTCATTCCAACTTATTGAGATAATTTCAATGGAATTTAAATAGGAAAAATGAGTTATACGCAAATTCCAAAATAAAATTTTACGTGTTTTTTTTTTTTACTTAAAACAATAAAACGATTAGATTTTGCTAATTCATTCCAGCAAAATTAGTAATCCCAAAGATATCAATTCTTGAAATAAATGCGATAAAAAAAAATGCATTTTTGTTTTGGTTTTTAAAATAAAAAATAAAACAGGATATTGTAAAAAGGAAATTTTTTAAAATTCTTTTACATATATATATATATATATAGAATTTTTTCGATTGCGAGCTTTTATCATATACAATAAATCGTGATTTTATAAGTTGAATAGGGATAAATCTATGGGAGGAATTGGATTGTCAAAGTGTAAATCGATTTTATAACTTTAAACCTGTATCTTGTACCCTTGGGATGGACTATACATTATAATCGTGTCAAGTGGTAAAGGAAATGTTTTGTTGCTTTGAAAGGATGCTTTGAATATTTTTATCCATGTGTAAATAATAGAGTTGATATGAATTTATTATCTCTTTTACAAATTAGTGATGTTTTCGAAACGTATACAATAAATTTCCTGTTGATTTCCTGTATATTCTATATATACAGTAAACGTGAAGCAGATAAAAAATATGAACTGGAAATTCATTTCTGTGAGAATTTATTCAATAACGGTTAATGATGCAGATTATTAGCAAAAATAAGGGCGGAAGATTGCACAAATGATTTATTTTCTAGTGTTATAATCGTGTTTTAATGATGTACTGTACTTCGATTTTTGAATAACTCACTCAAGTGTTTTTTAAAATCATTTTTGTCTGTCCGTCTTTCTCTTTAAAATAGTTCGTACAGAAGGACAGACATAATAAATTTCGAATTTGTACGATGTTTCTCAATTAAATTATGAATAATTCCTTGTTTTGTGCCCTGTCTTATGTGCAGATTTGAAAAGAACCAGACCAAATTTAACTTAATAACTCGATAGTCACAAAAAATATGAAACTTTCAAAATTTTGTTTTACTATTATGTAACAAAATGGCAGCTTTACGTAATATTAAAGAATTTTATATGTCTTTCAACCGTTGGTTTGCTTAGATTTCTCCATCTTTATAAGATTTTAATATGGGATTATATTTAAACATTCAAATTAAACGTTGATTATAATAATAAAACTAAGCTATTATCGATTAAACTAATTCCAAAATATTTTATAGAGTTATATAGGAGGATAGTATGCGAAAATGAAGATTTACATCTAGAATGTGCTCCTAGAAGCTTCCTAGCTATACACAACGCTTCCTTTACTACTGATGTATTCAGTGAAAATATTACCTGCATGGACTTTAATCTATCCGATAATATATGTACAGAAGACATCAGAATCCAGATTAATAGAAGGTAAGCTAGATTTATATTGTTAATTAAGAGCTTTAACTGTGAGAAAATTTTCTCTTTCTTTCATATTTACGTTCGAATTAATACGAAATAAATTTGTACCGGTTAAAAATATATTCTTAAAAAAATAAAAACACATGAATAAGTTAAATAATATTTTAAATTTTGCAGAACATCAGAATAAAATATTGATATATTAATGATTTAAAATAGGAAAGAATATAAACATTTTAATTAAAGATCCAGTAATTACTTTTCCAAGTTTCATGAATATTAAAATTTCGTGGAATTAACTTAAATATTTTAAATAACAATTTTATAAAATCGTTAAATTTAAGCCTTATTCGTTTTATGAAAGCAGAAAAATAAGTCACTTTAAAACATATAAAGCNGAAACGCGTCGCATCGCTTTCGATCAACGCATTATTGTATTAAAAACGTTACATTTTTATAATGTTAAAAGTATATCTTTTAAGATTTAATTAATATTCTATTCCCGAATTATTTCATTAATTTTATATATAAAAAAGAAAATTTAATTTGAAATTCCACAAAAATTAGTAAAAAAAAATGCGACTAGTTCTAACTTTGTCCGCGAGATGTCGCTGTTCGTGTATGAAGATACATTCCCGGGTGAGCCAGTGCATAAGGTAGCGAGACAAGCGTTAGTCGAGACCAAATATGATTGTGGTTTGTTGTGGATCGTACAGAACATGAGGTGGAGAAGTCGTCATTACAGCATCGTGCATAGCTATCTCTTCTTTTTCTTTCTTGGAGTAAGCACTAAAGGTAAGCATCTCATATAATATAAAAAAAAATCGATTCTTCTAAGAAGGGCTCGACTTGTGATTTACATTCCACGCGTGGACTTTACAACTTCTTTCTAAAATTTAATTCGTTCAGTTTTTTTTAAAGAATTTAAACTTTAATTTTTATTTTTTTGATGTTTTTTTGAACGTCATAGTTTACATTTACACAAATAAGTATGAGTTTATGTACAGTACAGACTATATTTACATATATCCTGGGTATAAAGAGCGCTATAAACATAGAGAGAGATCTTTTATTCACATTTAACACAAAATCTTCTTGTTTTTGAAGGTTAAAAGTGGTTAGAATTAACTCGTTTGCCATCTTGTTTTGATTTTAATCTGAATAGAAAATTGTTATTTATACTTGCAATGCCAGCTTTAACCGAATCGATAAAGTTAGAAGGACATCAAAACATTGTTTGGTCGGATTTAGCGATCCATTTTATTAAAAGGTCAAATTTATTAAATTGACAAATTGTTTAGTTTTGAGATATTACTTTTTAGTTTTAAAATTTAAAATATTTTAAATAACAATTTTATAAAATCGTTAAATTTAAGCCTTATTCGTTTTATGAAAGCAGAAAAATAAGTCACTTTAAAACATATAAAGCTTTAAAAATAAAAGTTTTTGTTGTTTTGTTACATAGTTTCATAGGTATCTCGTGTACTGTACCTTCCGGGTCATCTGATCTTTACTTTTAAGTGAATTTTGAGATCGTCTCTGATCCCAGAAGTAGCATTAGATAAATCCTTTAAAACACTTTCGAAAGATTCTAACTGAAGTTGGAAAAATCAGAAAGTAAAAAACGACAAGTTTTGTTTCGATGAATGCTTCCATCCCATTTTCGAAGTTTGCACTTTTGCCGATTTCATCGACACTATATTTAGATATTTTTATAAAGTAAAATGGTACTCACGACGTACAATTCGAGTACAAAGAATTGGCTACCTTCCAACTTATACCCAAAGCTCTCATCTTTATTTTCTCTTTGAGAATCTGGTTAGGTTAAGTATATCTTTTCCCATATCTTTCTCAAAATAGCCACACTTTAAAAGACGAAAAAAAAGTCGATTTAAGCGTTTTTTCACCTGATTATCTTATTCCCAGTTTATTTAATTCAATTCAATTCTAGCGATAAACTAGGCAATCAGTCAATACATTTAAATTTTTAATACCTGTCGTGATAGCTAATTTAATCACTGCATGCTAATTTTCTTCTTGAGTAATTTTATGAAAAATTATTCGTTAAAAGGAAATCGAGTTGTTTATCATATCTTAGATAATTAGCTATAAGCCAAAGCGATGATTGAATTTTTACAGGTAGATAAATTAATGGAGTTGATGCCACTCGAGATTCATGCTTTGCCACTTTTACTCAAGATAACGCAACACGTAAGAGCACAGTTTAAATAAATTAGAGATTTTTTTTCTTTCTAAATCAACTGCACTTACACAATATCAAGAAGTATTAAATATTCTGAAGTTGGATTTTCTTTTTTAAACTTTTATTGCTGAAATGCTAATTACTGCTAAACTTTATTCTTTTTGGAGTTGTGTTGATAAGATTTGAAAGTAGGATATTATAATGTATTTAAATTAGGATGTCGTTTAATAACACGGTTCAAAATTTTTTAAGTTGATATTTTAATGCGAATTGATAACTAAAGATTAATTTGATACACNTCATGTATTGTTTACATTTGAATAATTCTAATTAAAATTCTTAAAATTTTATTAATTTATAAAGAGAAAAAAATAAGTAAAAAATTCAAATGCTTCAAGATAATATTCGGCACTTAAACCTATTAAATTGACACTTTAAATACCAAGAATAAAGCTAAAAATATGCGTTTAAGTATCATTTATCATCTGTTTTCGAGGTATTTTTATGTCGACACGAGTTACAACCCCACTCCACTCAACTGCAAACACATAGGAGTGACCATAATGTAGAATGATCGATATTAACTATTAATAGTGGATTTTTTTTTAGCCAGGGAAATTAATCCCTATCTTTAGTTTTATATGTAAAATTCGAGTCATTTATAACGGAAATATAGGTTTTAAAAATATAAACTAGTTGTAAATTTATCAAAAAATGTTTAAAGAGGAAACCAAGCCTCTTAACTTTGAGATAAACACGTACTCTACACGAAAAATAAAAGCATACCGGAATGTTTTTAATGAAAAACTATGATATAGAAGAATTTATTGATAATATTTTCCCTATTTAATATCGAATGGAAGTATATATTTAAAGTATAACGTCCGAAAATGTCACTTGTAACACTTCCTCGTACGTGACGTTTGGGAAAAAAGTGTAGGCGATACTCTCGCTACAATTAATTAGTTTAATTAAACTTCAATCATTCTAGGTCAGAAAAAAATATTATATAACGGAAGGTATAAAATACTAGCTTTAAATTTACGTGCAGCGGATATAATGATAATATCGATATATTAAGTAATATAAGACTATACATAACGAATGTATTTAGGCAATTTGTTATTTAAGCTCTTGTCAAGAACAAACAAAAGGATGTTTAATTTTAAAACTGAGTGTTCCTGTGTTAAAAATATAAATTTCTTCTATTTTTTAAAAAAAGTTATTATAAAATTTTAACAATTTTGAATTATTTTAAATCGCAGTTACTCGCGCTTAATCGCGTCGCGTAGCCCGCTTCGCTCGTGTCGTATAATTATCATTACCGATTAATCTACTTTCCTGTTGTGTTAAATATAAAACTATGCGAAAATAGATACTTCTAATAGTGAAATAATAATAATAATCGTATTTGCGTGTAATATAATCAAACAGTGACGCGTCGCGACGCGATACCACTCACATTTTATATATTACTGAAGATGAATTTTTAAGATTTTTTCATACAGTTTGATGCTTTTCACTTTTTGTTTCGGAAGAAACACATTAATGATAGAGGTATAAAGTAACAGGTTGCTCTGTAAATCCGGGAGACTTTACTGACATGTGAAGTGTTATCATTACATCGAGTAACTTTCTAGGAAAAGATATAAAAGTAGAAGCTACAAATATAGCTTTGAGAGGGGTGGATTCTACTCCTCCTATTAACGTGATGCATCGATGATCTGTGTAAGGTTCATTAACATAATATGTGCACCTGCTAGGTCATCAGTCACACCTTACTATGATTGTCAACACTGTGATCGAAGAGAATTTCAAAGTTTCACCCCCTTTTTATACTAAAAACTTCTAATTTCGCGTATATATTCAGAGTTATCCAATATTACATCAGTTATTCACATTATTAAATTTTCCTCTGTGAGGTAAGCAAGTTTTTTTCGGCGTATTTGCAATTTTTAAATCATTCCAATTACTTTGAAAGACGTTTTTTTTTTCTTTTGCCAAATCGATAAAAATGTAAAAATATCTCATTAATATCACATATCAAATTTTTTAGAATTTAGAGATTGTATTTAAAGATTTTTCAGTTTAAAAACATCGAAAATGTATTTATTTTCTTTCGAAAATCGCATCCAAAAACAACGGATCTATAGTTTACACCTGCATCAACTTATTTATATTGTAAGGGACGCCTACACCGTGTCTCACCTGTCGACTGAGGGGCAGGTGTCTCGATCACGTGACAATATTTCACGTCATTTCTTGCGTTAATTCTTAAATTCTGAGAATCCGAACAATTCGAAAGAGTACGATAGCACTTTACTATATTTACCGTTAAGTACAAATGCGAAGTCATAAAAATAGAACGTATTATATAATTTTCTAAAAATAGAAAACTTAAACATTTCTATTTATTTTTTATGTAATGCACTCGCTGACAGGATATTGTAACTGATACTAATCTTGTTAACTTTTATTTTTTATTTCTTTGCAGGTGTAACGACCTTGATGATTGTCTTTACATTTTATTAATGACATGTTTAAGCATAATTAGAATTTTTTTTTGTGTTTTTGTTTTTTCGTTTTCTCGTTTATGTTACAAAGTATTGTTTTTTGTGAAAAAATCGATAGCGAAATTCCATTTTATGTACTCGTTTGAAGGTGTCTTGGACGAGATTTAATTATTTTTCACGCTGTTGTTTACATATTTTATATATTAATTTTCAAATTCTTGTTGCAGCCTAAAATACTTCAGTTATTATATTCTGTTTATAATTTTGTCTTAAGCACGCTCATGTTCTGTGGTATATGCTATGATTCGGGTATTGTGATGTTATAATTGTAATTTTGTTTGTTTTTAGCTGCGATTTATGTTATGTATCTTATAACCTGTGTAGTGTTTTTCTGCATTTGGCGTGGTGTGTTTGCTATGACTTGTGTTGCGTTCTGTTGTAGGAAAACACTACAACAGATTGTAGTGTTGTATATGTATTGCGCATTTGTTATATATATATATTCCAATTTACATATTTCTTATGTGCTTGTATGGATATTATTTATATGTTATAACAGGGATAGTAATGTACGAGCCATATTCTATATATCTTCTTTACATTATGTTTATTATTTATATGTTTAAATTTGTGTATTTATAATATTCGTTTTAATATATCCGAAATAACTGAATGAAAAAAAAATTATTTTTTATATTAAAACTGCTTTTTATCACTCAATAAGATCGATTTTTGTAACAAGATAAAAGTTCTCTCGACTCGACTTCTCTAATATATACTGTATATATAGTATATACTACAAAAAAAAAAGTCGTTCGACAGTCACACTAGATATCTTTGTTACGGCGATTTCGAGCATTCATCAAAAGATTAGAAGAGGAACCTATCCGAAAAAAAATCAATCCTGTACTCCTGTTCATCTCGTCTTCGATTGATCATTTCTCTTCCTATCTCTTTCTACCAAGATATTGGAATGTCATTCGTTTTAACTAATGGATGATCGAGTTAAAAATTAGCTAAAAATAGGAGAAAAAATCAGAAAAAAACGCAATAATTGTATTTATAAAAGTTTCATGCAAGAATTAGCTTTATTGTAAAGCACTTTTCATATGTGTTATCGATCTATAATGAGTTATATCGCGTGTTTTTCCTCAAGAGAACGAAAAAATTATTATTTTCTATATTAACTTTGTTCGTAACAATTCGTCCTTATACGCAACGTTCAAAATTCCTCTTAAATTACCTTTACTCTGGATTATATTTTATGAAAATTTATATTAAAAAATTCTTTCAAAATAATAAATTTTATGAAAAATTTTTATATTTCGAAATTTCTTTTATGTCTTAATTGCTAGACATAAAAGAAATTTATAGTAAATTGTTCCGCTTATCAAAAGAATAAAAAACAAAAAAAGTAATGTCATTAACATGTTAGTGTTAACATTTACGAAATTATTAATGGTAATTAAAGAAGTTTTATCATTAATAACGTTATCTTATTTAATGGGGATAATATAATACAATTTTTATGGAAAAAAATAAAGAAAATGCTTCTATAAATCATGCTTTGTAAACGAAAAATGCGGCTTTGTAAATAGCAACATCCCGATTTAAAAATTCAAAATTAGCGTTTATAATGTTATATCATCATCACCCAACTTTTTCTTAATTATAAATATTATAAAATAATTAATTTTGATTTATTGCGACAATGAATAATTTAAAATTGTGATAATATCTATTTTAATTACTTAGTCATTAACGAATTTATTTTAATTATAACCTTCAAAAAGTTAAAAAAGCTTATGCGTGTAATTATGTTAATGTTTGTTTTTTTTTTTTAATTTTAAAAATGTATATAAAATTCATTTATTATTTTATCCTAATGGTGATTAACGTAAGTTTTTTTGTGCTAATCTTTTATAATAAATAAGCTATATATTAAGTTTTTACAGTAAAAATAGTGTAAAACACCCGAAATATTTATTTTTTTGTTTGGTTTTTTTAAAGATTAAAACTGTAAAACAAACTCCTGAAAACAATGTAATTTAGTTAGCAATTAATTAGTTAAATTGCTTTAAAATTTTAACGCATCTAAACACATTTTCCACTTCAATCACAGTAAAAAAGAGGAGAAAATCATTAGTTTTTTCATTCCTTTTAAAACGTTTTAACGTCATTTAAGTGATGTTTTATTATGACTTTATTGGGTTTTGTTCTGGTTAAGCTGTCATGAGTCAATAAACCATTTTCAACTAGAAAAAAACTGTTCGTCGGTGACTCTCTTCTATTGTTCCCAAGATAATCACTCGATTTCGAGTGCTACTTCTGTTTGATTAACTATTTAAGTATACTTTCAGCTGAATTACTATAGAACTTTATAAAATAACAGCTCATTCTTCCTTTTGCTAAACAGGATATTCTATATAAGGCCATAACTTTTATGTTTCTATAATTAAAATTTAACTGATTTATATTATTTTAAATACGAAATGAATGTTTCAAATTGCTTTCAGGCGATATTGTTTTCAATATCACGAGGTGACTGAACTCTGAATTTGTCAAGATAATTTGGATTTTTGGCGTTTATTATATAGAATTATATATAATCTAATCTCTATAACTAATGTTAACATGTTTTTGAAGATTTTTCAGTTAAATTTTGTGTTAATAAAGGCACGCATGTTATAGATCAAGGGTAACAACTAATTTTACAGAAGATCCACATTTGGGTGGAGGAAATTGAGGTGCAGAGAACTTGGAAAGGTGGGAAAGGGTCGGAAAAAGGGGGTAAAGATAAGTTAATGAAGATTTGACAGGCGTACACGTGATCAGAGGACTCAAATTGTATTTCTAATACAATTCTGCCTGACTTCCAGAGGTCTGCTTGTTGCTGACCCTTTGTTATTGATTGTGCAGAAAGTTACGTTTCATTCCAACTTATTGAGATAATTTCAATGGAATTTAAATAGGAAAAATGAGTTATACGCAAATTCCAAAATAAAATTTTACGTGTTTTTTTTTTTTACTTAAAACAATAAAACGATTAGATTTTGCTAATTCATTCCAGCAAAATTAGTAATCCCAAAGATATCAATTCTTGAAATAAATGCGATAAAAAAAAATGCATTTTTGTTTTGGTTTTTAAAATAAAAAATAAAACAGGATATTGTAAAAAGGAAATTTTTTAAAATTCTTTTACATATATATATATATATATAGAATTTTTTCGATTGCGAGCTTTTATCATATACAATAAATCGTGATTTTATAAGTTGAATAGGGATAAATCTATGGGAGGAATTGGATTGTCAAAGTGTAAATCGATTTTATAACTTTAAACCTGTATCTTGTACCCTTGGGATGGACTATACATTATAATCGTGTCAAGTGGTAAAGGAAATGTTTTGTTGCTTTGAAAGGATGCTTTGAATATTTTTATCCATGTGTAAATAATAGAGTTGATATGAATTTATTATCTCTTTTACAAATTAGTGATGTTTTCGAAACGTATACAATAAATTTCCTGTTGATTTCCTGTATATTCTATATATACAGTAAACGTGAAGCAGATAAAAAATATGAACTGGAAATTCATTTCTGTGAGAATTTATTCAATAACGGTTAATGATGCAGATTATTAGCAAAAATAAGGGCGGAAGATTGCACAAATGATTTATTTTCTAGTGTTATAATCGTGTTTTAATGATGTACTGTACTTCGATTTTTGAATAACTCACTCAAGTGTTTTTTAAAATCATTTTTGTCTGTCCGTCTTTCTCTTTAAAATAGTTCGTACAGAAGGACAGACATAATAAATTTCGAATTTGTACGATGTTTCTCAATTAAATTATGAATAATTCCTTGTTTTGTGCCCTGTCTTATGTGCAGATTTGAAAAGAACCAGACCAAATTTAACTTAATAACTCGATAGTCACAAAAAATATGAAACTTTCAAAATTTTGTTTTACTATTATGTAACAAAATGGCAGCTTTACGTAATATTAAAGAATTTTATATGTCTTTCAACCGTTGGTTTGCTTAGATTTCTCCATCTTTATAAGATTTTAATATGGGATTATATTTAAACATTCAAATTAAACGTTGATTATAATAATAAAACTAAGCTATTATCGATTAAACTAATTCCAAAATATTTTATAGAGTTATATAGGAGGATAGTATGCGAAAATGAAGATTTACATCTAGAATGTGCTCCTAGAAGCTTCCTAGCTATACACAACGCTTCCTTTACTACTGATGTATTCAGTGAAAATATTACCTGCATGGACTTTAATCTATCCGATAATATATGTACAGAAGACATCAGAATCCAGATTAATAGAAGGTAAGCTAGATTTATATTGTTAATTAAGAGCTTTAACTGTGAGAAAATTTTCTCTTTCTTTCATATTTACGTTCGAATTAATACGAAATAAATTTGTACCGGTTAAAAATATATTCTTAAAAAAATAAAAACACATTAATAAGTTAAATAATATTTTAAATTTTGCAGAACATCAGAATAAAATATTGATATATTAATGATTTAAAATAGGAAAGAATATAAACATTTTAATTAAAGATCCAGTAATTACTTTTCCAAGTTTCATGAATATTAAAATTTCGTGGAATTAACTTAAATATTTTAAATAACAATTTTATAAAATCGTTAAATTTAAGCCTTATTCGTTTTATGAAAGCAGAAAAATAAGTCACTTTAAAACATATAAAGCTTTAAAAATAAAAGTTTTTGTTGTTTTGTTACATAGTTTCATAGGTATCTCGTGTACTGTACCTTCCGGGTCATCTGATCTTTACTTTTAAGTGAATTTTGAGATCGTCTCTGATCCCAGAAGTAGCATTAGATAAATCCTTTAAAACACTTTCGAAAGATTCTAACTGAAGTTGGAAAAATCAGAAAGTAAAAAACGACAAGTTTTGTTTCGATGAATGCTTCCATCCCATTTTCGAAGTTTGCACTTTTGCCGATTTCATCGACACTATATTTAGATATTTTTATAAAGTAAAATGGTACTCACGACGTACAATTCGAGTACAAAGAATTGGCTACCTTCCAACTTATACCCAAAGCTCTCATCTTTATTTTCTCTTTGAGAATCTGGTTAGGTTAAGTATATCTTTTCCCATATCTTTCTCAAAATAGCCACACTTTAAAAGACGAAAAAAAAGTCGATTTAAGCGTTTTTTCACCTGATTATCTTATTCCCAGTTTATTTAATTCAATTCAATTCTAGCGATAAACTAGGCAATCAGTCAATACATTTAAATTTTTAATACCTGTCGTGATAGCTAATTTAATCACTGCATGCTAATTTTCTTCTTGAGTAATTTTATGAAAAATTATTCGTTAAAAGGAAATCGAGTTGTTTATCATATCTTAGATAATTAGCTATAAGCCAAAGCGATGATTGAATTTTTACAGGTAGATAAATTAATGGAGTTGATGCCACTCGAGATTCATGCTTTGCCACTTTTACTCAAGATAACGCAACACGTAAGAGCACAGTTTAAATAAATTAGAGATTTTTTTTCTTTCTAAATCAACTGCACTTACACAATATCAAGAAGTATTAAATATTCTGAAGTTGGATTTTCTTTTTTAAACTTTTATTGCTGAAATGCTAATTACTGCTAAACTTTATTCTTTTTGGAGTTGTGTTGATAAGATTTGAAAGTAGGATATTATAATGTATTTAAATTAGGATGTCGTTTAATAACACGGTTCAAAATTTTTTAAGTTGATATTTTAATGCGAATTGATAACTAAAGATTAATTTGATACACATAAAGAAAGTTTAAAATTTGTTTTGGATGTTGAAAAATATGACTTACAATATAATAAATCTATATAATATATTGAATTTTTTACGAACTTAGTAGAAAGTGTACGCTATTACGAATATTTTTGTAAATATATTAAATGGAATAAGATATATTACTCAAGTTTAACGCCCACTAGTAGATGAGTATATAAAACCATTCAAACCACTGGTGGATTTGCGTACAAGGTGGAGTTTCCTGGGATTTTCCACTTGTCTAACGTCTACGAGGGCTGTTCGGAAAGTTCGCGGCCTTGCCTATATGCGGCGCTGCGATCAATTTAATTTTTGGCGGGAATAATTCAGCCATCTTTGCTAAAGATACGATACCAATTTCCGCTTGATTTGTCAAAAAGTTTTGCCACGACAGCTTAGCAGATAGTCAGTGTGCACATGCTTTGTCAAAAATGGAGAAGACGGAGACTCGTGCGGTCATAAAATACCTGACGAAAAAAGGGTTGACCCCATCTCAAATCAAAGCTGACATGGATGAAGTTTTAGGAGAGTCTGCTCCTTCGTACACCACTGTGAAAAAATGGACAGCCCTTTTTAAATCTGGCAGAGAAAGTGTGGAAGATGACCCTCGCAGCGGACGGCCGTCAACTGCTGTCACTGAAGAAAACATCGACAAAGTTCACGATTTGGTATTAGCAGATCGCCGTTTGAAAACGCGTGAGATAGCTGAGACAACAGGCATCTCTGTCGACCGAGTGCACCACATCCTAACCGAAGATTTGGGTATGACGAAGGTCTCAGCAAGGTGGGTGCCGCATCTGCTGACCGCCGAGCAAAAACGTGTTCGCACTTTGATGTCAAAGGAGTGTTTGGACTTCTACCAGAAAAACCCACAGGATTTCTTGCGTCGGTTTGTGACTACTGACGAAACGTGGATCCATTACTACACTCCTGAAACAAAAGAACAGTCGAAGCAATGGAAACACCACAGTTCGCCACCACCAAAGAAGGCAAAGACAGTTCCATCAGCGGGTAAAGTGATGGCCTCGGTTTTTTGGGATGCTAAAGGCATCATCTTTATTGACTACCTAGAAAGAGGAAAGACCATTAATGCTGTCTATTACTGTGAACTTTTGGAAAAACTGAAGAAAGAAATCGAAGAAAAGAGGCCACACTTGAAGAAGAAAAAAGTTCTGTTCCACCACGATAATGCACCTGCACATTCCGCCAGAATCACTGAACAAAAGATAAACGAACTTCGCTTCCAATTAGTTCCACATCCACCGTACTCACCTGATTTGGCCCCCAGTGACTTCCACCTTTTTCCAAACCTAAAAAAATTCTTGGCTGGAAAGAGATTCCACTCAAATGACGAAGTCATCTCTGAAGTGAACGAGTATATTGCACACCTTGACAAATCGACCTATTGTGATGGCATAAAAAAGCTAGAACATTGCTGGAATAAGTGCATTGCTAACAGAGGAGATTACGATGAAAAATAAAAAAAGTTTTAACATTATTTTCTTTGTTTTTCTATGTGAGGCCGCGAACTTTCCGAACAGCCCTCGTAAATAAGGTCCAGTTTTCCCAAAGAAAGCCCTCCCGAGAGGCATCCATCCTTGGCAGATAGTTCATGTGTTGCGTTGCCCTATCTCATCAATCTAATCCATTAAGTTAATATTAAATTCTTAGACAAACAAGGATCATAAATAACTTGTTAAAACAATTATTTACCTTAGTTATTCAGTTCAATTGTATTTATCAATGACTTATATTAGCTACGAAGTTACATTTTTCAGATTTTAGAGTAGTTTTTATTTCTAACAATTTTCTCTACTCTATAAATGACTATGGCAAGTCCAGGATTATGATTAAATAATGTAAAGATCTATAACATTAAGCTAATATTGTAATATTTTAAATAAATTGTGTGTGTAGCATACGCAACTAAATTTATAGTAAATTGATTAACACTTACTTCGAGAGAAGATTTTAGTTTCTTATTTCGAATTCAAAAAATAAGTTTTATGTTAGAACATATTTCTATAATGACGTATCTAGAAATAGATTAGGTAAAGAGAAGCTATTATGTTTTCTAACATATTTCAAATTGAAATGATTTCTAATAGTTGTTATGTTGCAAAAAATTGTTATCTCTTTCGTAAGATAGCTGAAAAACAGGAATTTTAACTATTTATTAATACAAAATTAGTATATTTAAGATTCGATTTAAGAAATGGATGAATATAAATATACGTTTATTGATCCATTGATGTACTACTTCAGCGACTATATTTAATAATTCAATAAATTTTGGTCGACGATCTCTATGATTGAATAAAAATATATTTGATTGATGGCATTTAAAGATTTCGTATTGATAGGATTTTGCCATGAATGCCTTTTTATCTCTTGCTTTTTTTTTTTTTATTTTCTTTCTTTCGTCGTTCTGCAGAGAGCGATCTTTGGACGTTGTTCAATAATATTTGGATGAATTTAAATTCTAATAAATTTGAATTTAAGAAGTAAATGTTTCCAATTCAAGATTTTGATTGAATGGAATAAACTCGAGCCTATTTAAAACCACTAAAACTCTATAAATGATATCTTATCATATTAAATGTGCTTATTGATAATTGGAAATAGTTTTTAAAGTATATATAAGAAGTTTGTTTCCACATGTGATCAGAAGATATGCTGCTTCAATTAAAATTTATTTTATTAAAAAATTCGACATCCCTTTCCTTCGCTGTTACTTAGAATATTTAGATTTTGAATTGTTAATTTTATAAAGAAAATCCAAAAGTAATCTATTGAGAGATATTTGGATAGATATTTTTGTTCGAATTAAGCTATTAAATTAATTTTTATACAAACTACAAAATGTTAAAATGTTATGTAACTCTAAAAACATTGTTTAGAGTTACATACTGTATCAACATTTTAACATTTTGTACTTTGTATACCAACGTTCTCATTTGAATTTAGAGTTAGCATTTAACTAAGTTCAGATGAGAATGCTGGTGTGTAACTCTAAACACTGTTTAGAATTTACTCTGTAGCATATTTAGATTTTGAGTTAGAGTTTATAAAGTTTATAATCTGTATCAGTTGAAGCAGTGGATTTTCCTGTGTGCAGAAAGGAAAAAATCTGTTAATTTAAAAAATGGGGTATATTTTTTTGTTGGCATTCTTCCGGACTTGACCTATTTTATTTCAATTAATTTTGTAAAAATTTAAACCCAGACATTTTAGAATATATCATAAAACTTTTTATAGTAAAATCATTCAAAATATAAATTCAAAGTTTTGATTATGTAATTCACTAAAAATTAATTTTACTATTAATTACAATTGTGTTTATCATGTAAAAACTTTTATATATGATAAATGAATTAAAGTTTTCTTAAAATAATCAAAATAAATAAAATAATTTTCGATTTTTCAGTATATCTGTTATACTATATATATAACAAATCAGAAATACTGCAATTCAGTACAAATGGTTAGAGGGGAAGTGGCCTACTTCCGTTCAATTTTTCATCTTCAT